CCCCCCCCCCCCCCCCCCTCCACCCACCCTTAGCGCCCCTCTACTGTTAGGTCGGGCATGTCCCCCTAAAGGCGGATTTTGGGCGAAAAGTGAAAAGAGTAGAAACATACTTCAGAATGGTCAACAAGTAATCAAAAGATCGTCACGAAACTGTTTTAGACTGCTTTTGAATATTCCTCCTGTACTCTGACACGCCCGGCTTAACTCTACTGGGGGCTCCACCACCAGGCACTTTGGCCAGTGACCCAGCGAACCCAACCCTCCTCGATCTGGGCACCGCTGTAATGCTAGAAAGAAACCCCAAAGTAGAAGCTTTCGTTGGGTCGGGCATGTCTCCCCACAGGCGGATTTTGGAAGAAACATTTGTTTAAAATAATCAAACAATTACAAACATGACAGAAACAAATCGAACAATTGCACACTGTTTTTTGGATCATTCGAATGAGAGGGACATGCCCGACTTACAATGTTCGGCAAACCTCCAGAGTACCCGTCGTTACGGTCCACTGACCCCCCCCCACCCCTCCAGCGCTGGGTGCCCGAGGGCATCCCTGGAGCGCGCCAGGACACTCTCCTCCTCGCCCTGCTCCTGCTCCTTCTCCTGACGCGCTGCACTGTTCAGCATCGGGTTGCCTGCGCTACCATTCCCTGCCATCCTCCGCCTCAGATCAATATCTCACCTCCCCCCCTCCTTGCTTTCCGCATCCTCCTCATCCCTGCTCCTCCTCCTCCCGCTCGTTTCTCCTGATCGGCGTTGGCGTTGCCGTGGTCGTCAACATACACAGATTCCTCCTCCTCCTCCTCCTACTTCTTCTCCTACTCCTGCTCCTACTGAAGTCCCAGAAGTGGTTTTCCAGCACGATGCAGGACCCTCAAGCCGCCACAGTCAGGTTGGTTCGTGGCGTCGAAGTCCTGAGAATGGTGTTTCGGCACGCTTCAAGGTTTTGCACACGGATGTTCCCCGACGGGGCACTTCCTCCAGTGGAAGTGAACCGTTGCAGGGGCCTATTAGGAGGAGTCCTCCGCCTCCTCATCATCCTCCAGCGCACCATTAACTACCACCGCACGTCCTCCCACTCTGCGTTCTGCCTGCCTTGACTCCATGTCCTCCCTTCCTTTTCCTTCTCCCTCGTTTTAGTTAACCTGCATACTCTGCCAGTTGTATCGCCGTGATCAGCTTCGGCTTCATCAGCTTCGCAGCTCAGAAGCCCCACATCGCCTCCAAAACTCGCCCTTCATCCGGTCCTGCCTCGGACAATGGAAGGAAGAGAGGACGGAGCTGCAGAGGGCAAACAGATGCGGAACCACAAGCCTCCCCCTTCTCGTTCTCCTTCTTCTACTCCCATCTTCCTCCCTCCATACCGAGCCCAAGACGGACTCGTACAAGTCTACCATTTTTTTCTTGTGCCGGCTCGAGTCGCCGAAGAAATCCGACAGGTTCTGCATCTCTCGGAAGACCTGCTGGAGCACGGGCCGCGAGGGAGGGCGGGGTTGGCGGGGCGGAGGGCCGAGAAGGGCCCCGAGCACGGGGAGGACTATGAGACGGAGGAGTGGAACGGGAGGCGGCGGCGGCGGCGGCGGAGCGGTGACGGGCCGAGTCGAGCAGAACTACGACAATCAACATCACGAGTTGCAGTAGTGATGTGCGACCTACCATGCGCGGTAATCGAACTGCGAGTGGAACGGGAGAAGGAGGAAGAGGAGGAGAAGGAGGAAGAGGAGGAGGAGGAGGAGGAGGAGGAGGAGGAGGAGGAGGAGGAGGAGGGAGGAGGAGGAGGAGGAGGAGGAGGAGGAGGAGGAGGGAGGAGGAAGAGGAAAGCTGGTAGTAGTCCCACCAGCACTTTGGGCGCAGGGAGCTCGTTCTGCCGACAATGTGCAGGGTGCGATCTCGCCTTCGCCCTTCTGCTGTCCCCCGCTCCTCCGAGGCATGCGCACCGAAACACGCCTCCGAGGTGCGCCGAGGAAATATGGCGAGAATATGGAAGCCAGGTTCGCGGACACGCTAGCTAAGTGACTGAGCTAAACGGTTGATCGTCGATGAGCTTCCAACGGTTCGGTATCAGTGCCCGGGACAACATTGAAAGAACATCGGAACGATGGTGAAGGCAATCGGATGGGAGTGGAAGAGATGGAGCAGGGAGAGCAGCCGAAGCAAGCGCAGGATGGATAGGAGAAGATGAATGATGCTGGAAGAGGCGCTGGACCAATCAGTGGCCTTCGAACAAGGATGCATCAACAATGACGCATGAAGATGCTCTCGCGAAGACGACGCTTTAACAATGATGAACGAAGAGACCCAACCAGCCTGCATGTAGAGCTCGTAATAATTCTTCGGCGACAGCAGCGACGTTCTCAGCTCACAGATCATGTTAGAAGCGTGCTTGAGGGCCTCGGCGGTGCAAACCAGAGTGGCGTGCGGCCCCGGCCGTGCGCATCACCAGCACACCAATCGAACCTACGCAATCGACGCGCAAACAAGCGTGGCCTTGCAGTGGTAATGAGATGCAGCTGCAGACCATGTGGTTCGCCCGAATCCAGTAAGCAACAATGTCCCCTAAAAGACGACCCGAAGGCCAGCAGACGGCCAACCAAATGCCCCCGTGGATCCCGAAATACAACCCACTGCATCACAACAGCCATGCGACGCAATGCAACTTCAACGCTGCAACGTCGCCACGGTAAGCAATATGCCCCCACCCAGCCGCAGACGTGAGGGTGGGTCTGACATTCGGAGCACAGTGCAATGTCCAGGCAGCGCCTCCCATGTCAATCGTGCAACGCTCGCCTATTCACACTTGCACGGCGTGCCACTGGCCACTGGGGACGCAACCTCTTCCCCCCCCCTGAATCGGGGAAACCGCATGGTACCGATATCGCTACTCTCCTGACCTCTCCCGGGGTGCGTTCTGACCGGAATTCCGAGGCGAATCCAGCGGTGACGACGAGGGCCTCCGAGGAGGCCCAACACGAGGGAAACGAGGGAAGGGTAGAGGTATGGGTACCTGCTCCACCTCTGACTCCTTCCCATTCTCCTCCTGCTCCTGCCCGTGTCCTACTCCAGACCAGCCTCCTCTCGAGGCCTTGCAACGTGGCGCGCGCAGGACGACAAAAGGCGTGCTCTCGCTCTCTGGGCCAACCTGCACGCCTGTGTGCAACCGCCTCCCAAGATCCAGCGCACCCGTCCTCACGCAGACCGCGCCAGCCGTGCAGTAAGGCTGCGCAACCTTGACTGCACTGCAAAACGCGGTGGCGGAGACGTGCGGGAGCGCAACGGAACTATTATCCGAGGTAAGCCCATGTTTTCTGGTCCCCCCCTGAAGCGACCTGCACCTGCGAAGACCGATACGACTATGAGTATAGGTAAGGCTCATTGAGATCGTACATGTACCGACATTCGAAGCACAAGAAGCATTTGCGTAGCAGAACATGGCACCACCAACATGCAAGAACACGTCGCCATCGAGTAACTATCGAAACACTGGCTCGGAGTAATTGCAATAACGCGTGGGCGCCGCCATAATGACCGAAGTCAGGAAAAGCAGCAGCACGAAATTGCACGCATGCCTCCCGAACATTGTCCGACTCGATCGCCCGCTTCATGTAAAAAGTCTGCTCCTGGGAGGAGCGGTGACCAGTAAGGATAGGATGCAACGATGGGACGCCGAACATGTGCCCAGGCAACGACCTGCAATGCCATACACATACAAAAACAACAGAGGTCCGCGCAAATTCCTCGGATCGGGCCTTTGAGAAGGGACCGACCGTTCCGGCATTCCTACAGGCCAACCACGAACTGTTCTTAGAAGCAAACGCTGCTCTAAAAAACAAAAACGATGTTCTTGGAACGTAAGCCCGATGTGTTCAAGCAAGACAGGTCTCAGCCAGTAGTGTTCGAAAAACATTTCGTGCATATCACAGAAGGTTCTTCTAACATTCTTTGGTGGGCCTATAGGCGGGCCAGGAAGCTTCGCCACTGCTTGAGGGCTGGACCCCCTCCCTGGCGCGCGGAGCGCGCCTGGGGCAGCGCCGGAGGCGCCGCCGCGCGCTCGAGCTCCGGATTTTATGTGTTCTGGCATGTTTATGTCATCGCTTACAGTGGAGGCCCTCTAGCAAGACACCCTCCACAAGAGACCCCACCCTGAGACCACAGGACGCCCACTGACTCTTGGCAGGGGAGCGCCACGCTCTCCACGGCAGAGCCATCGAAGCCGAAGAAGCCCAGGGCACCCTGGAGGCGAGCAGGGTGTCTCTTGGCACGGGCCCACACCGTATGCCGTCGCTCACTCTCCTGCAGGGGGGGGGGGCCGGCAGCCGACGCACACGAACGCTTGCCCTCTTGGAGGCGCGCCTGCTGTCGCGGTCGCCGGCCCCGTTCCTGCTCTCGCTGCTCCGCGCGCCTCCCTTGCCATCGTGGGCGGGCGGGTCCGTCCATGGTCCACAGGAGACCTTCCACAAGAAACTCAACCCGGAGACCCCAAGGCGTTCATTGACTTTCAGTGTGGGGACGTCATGCCTTCCGCAGCAAAACCATCGAAACCCAAGAAGCCCAGGGCACCCTGGAGGCGAGCAGGGTGTTTCCTGGCATGGGCCTCCACTTTAAGTCGGATCGGCGATCGAAACGAATCGTATCGGCCGAACTCGGCAGCTGAGTCGGGAGAAGCCGAACCGAATCGAATCGGAATCGGAAGCCGTCGAAGCCGACTCGGAGGCATAAGGTTCTTTGACGTCGGGGCGCCCGCTCGAGCGCGGGCTCAAATCCCAGATCCTGGCTTTAGGTCGGACATGTCACCCTACAGGTGAGCGCCGATCAAAAACGGGTCTTACGCGAGATGACGTAGCGACCTTACGCGGTGACTCACGCGGGCCGCCCGCGCGGCACGCCACACTTGAAGCGAGGGCGCTTACGCGCGACCTTACGCGCCAATGTCGGCGCAGAAGAGCACTTTTTTTGCGTCGTCCACGTGGATTGTGGGAGAAAAGCGCGAAACATGATCAAACAATATTCAAAGATGGTCAAACACAGTCAAAACAGTGTCCCAGGATTATGTTTTGGCTAATTTGGACTAAAACTCCTGCAGAGGGACATGCCCGACCAAATCCTGGTTGTTCAGAGCCCTCTCGACTGCAACGGCCGCGGTTCCCCCTCGATCACCTCTAAATCGACGATTTACTCCCGGGCACTTTGGCCGCCCTTCGCAAGACACGTGAGCGGAGCCCTCGCCCGAGGCATGTTCGCAGCGCGTTCAACGCCCAACTCTGACGACAGTGGCTGCCGTTCGATGCTCTCTTGTAATGTCCTCGCGCGCGCCCTGGCCATACGCTTTCTTACTCAAGAATGGCGCTCTCACCCGAAACGTCCTCGCAAGTCGTTCGAGTGGGTGACGGTCCAGCTACGCAAATGCTCCGCTCGAAAACGAACGTTTTCCTATTCGGCGATTCGACATTGGGCGGAGGGGAGGGGATGTGGGGGGGGTCTGGCGCGGGACATCTTCTTAGTGCGACTGTTTGCAACAGTACGTAGTATGGGGGAGACTCCACCTGCTTGAAACAGGCGCCAAAAAACACCCAAGATCCACTCAATGGGGGGCAGGGGGTTGGGTGCGAGGGCCCACGCAGATCGGCAAAACAATGTCGCAACTTCCTCACAGTTTACTCTGGGACGCCCTGGAGGCCCTCAGCTCAGGAACGGTGCTCCCTCCTGAGACTTCCTCGCAAGTCGCTCAAATAATTGAGTAGCCCGCGGGCGCGACTTCATTGAACGACGGCCATGTCGGCGTAGTGCGCGCTGCTGAATTTTGCTCCCAGGAGCTGGTTAGAAAAGACGCCCCCCGATCAGTGGGTTCGTCCATGGACATTCCGATGGGCTGCAAGGGAGAGAGGAGAACATATGAAGTCGAATGAGTATGTCAGATCGCATGTTCTCAAAATGATCGTCGTTATCCTCGTCGTCGTCGTCGTGGCGCGGTCCTTGTCGTCGTCGTCGCCGTCGTTGTTGTGTGCTGGCGCCAGGGGGGGTCTGCACTGGCGCCAGGGGGGCAGCAGGAGGTTTTATCACCCCCCCCGACCGCCTTTCACTCTGGAGAAGGAAGGAGGAAGGGTTTCGACCCTCGCCCCATCTTCCACGGGGACGGAGGGGATCGACTCCCCTCCCCCGTCTTTGACTTCACCCCAACGTTCTCAAAACATTCTTTGTCCATGGTGTCGACCTCAGAGTCTCAGAGGCCAATGTCCGTGTGGCACTGCCTCTCCGTACGCGGAACGGAACCTTCGAACACACATTGGCCAACCCGTTTTTTCGTATGGCTGGGGACACACATTGGCCAACCCGTTTTTTCGTATGGCTGGGGACTGTTGTGTCTTGCTGGTGCTTCTAAGAGGCGCAGGCCCGGTGACACGGGTTCTGGCTCTCAGTACTAGAAAGAAAGGAACGCCATAAACATAAACTTTTGGCGCTCCGCGCGGATTTCTTGGATCCGCGCCGGACCCCCGTCCCTGGCGCACGGAGCGCGCCAGGGGCGGCGCTGGAGGCGCCGCCGTGGGGGCGTAGGCGCGGATCCAAGAAATCCGCGCGGAGCGCCAACAAATTATGTGTATGGCGTATTTTCTTCTTCTATCTGCGGGATCAGATGGAACGGAAGCGCGCCAGACCTTAGCAGCATCGGCGGCCTCGTGTCCATCAAGCGCAGCATCTGCCTCAAAGTGGAGCTTTTGCGCACGCACTTCACCTTAGCGTTTCTTTGGTGCTGCACCCGCGGATTCGCCGCCTGCGTGAGGCATGAGAACCACGTGTGCCGTCGCTTGTCCACGCGGTTTGCCGTGGTTGCGCCCTGGCTCGCCAGCGCGACTGCGACAAACCAACTTACCACTGCTGGTTAGGCAAACAGGTTGTCTGCACTAAGGCCCAAGGGATCCCTGGCAACCCCCCGTTTTCCTAATGTGTTTCCCCAACCATCGTGGTGTTGGGTCCTCGGTTTGAAGACAGCACCCCGCGACCTTCCTTCCTTCCTTCTTTCTTCCTCCCCCTCCTCCTCCACCTCCTCCCTCCATGATCATGATCATGATCATGATCATGATCATGATCATTATCGTCATCATCATCACCACCACCATCATCATCATCATCATCAACATCATCATCATCATCAGCATCAGCGTCACCATCATCATCCTCATCCTCATCAGCATCAACATCATCGACGTTCCTCTCCTCCTCCTCCTGCTCCTCCCCCTCCTCCCCCTCCTCTCCCTCTTCCTTTCTTCAATCATCATCATCATCAACAACAGTATCAGCATCAGCATCAGCATCAGCATCAGCATCAGCATCATCATCATCATCATCATCATCATCATCATCATCATCATCGTCATCATCACCATCACCCCAACCATAACCATAATCATCATCATCATCATCATCCTCATCCTCGTGATCCTCATCCTCATCACCACCAGCATCATCATCAGTATCATCAGCACTAGTACAATCGTAATCGTCATCAT